AGTTTTTTTTCCTACTAATATTACTGAAGTGACTTGTACGTAAAGCAAGGGCACATTAAGGGAGGTGCATGCTGATCGCACACAACATTAACAGCAAGAGCCATGCTCTCGTTCTACATCCAATGTAAGCACTGCGATGGTTCAATCGCCCATCCCACAAATTCTAGGTATGAAAGTGCAATTACCAAACTACTCTATTCTGGGACACCATTGTGTTTACCGCAACCTTGCGGCCCTCTTAGATAAAGGAGGGCCACTCTTTTAGCCCAGTCACTAACCTAAGTTGCCAATCACTGGAGTAGAAGGAAAGAACTTTCCTATACAAAAGGAATTGTCAATTCTTCTCATGCCCTGTAGTTAAGGTTATGCATTCTTACTTCAGGATTCATGAATCTTCAGATATGATAGAACTGCTAATAGAAGCGAGAATGATGCAAGTGTCACCTGAGTGACCAGCTAAAAAAATGGGCAGCAAGACACCATACCCAGTTAAAAGGCAGCAGCGGTACCTGAAAACGATTAGGAGAATGGTAGAGATGGTTCCATACATTGGTTTTAAAGGAGTCCCTTGACTAGACAAAAGAGATCATAGTGAAATGGTGTTTTCCGGGGAGATCTAAATTATGTTTCCTGTAATGGCATGTGAGAATGAGCCAGAGGCTTGCTGGAGGAAGGATTGGGGTTTTTTGTTGTTTTTTTTTTTTTGGAGTGGGGGAAAAGGTGGGAATTCCCTACCTGCTAAGAGACAAGGCTTTTTATGCACTCTTGGAAAAATTTAACAGTTTTTGCTTTAACATCTGGAAAAATATATCTTTGAATTAAATCTTACACTTTGCCTATGAAGTGTCCCGATTAAAATCTTGTAAAATGTAACCCTCTAGAAGCAATGTAATTCAGTCAAGCACTGGCCAGCAACCAGCATTTTAAGGCAAAAATTACAGAGTTAGCTAGGAAGATTAGGAAAATTAGGAAAGAAAACAAAATGAGGAGAAAAAGATCTTAAGTGAAACCTACCAACCAGAAAAACTATGGAAAAGAGTTTATAACATAGTAATTTACAAGCCTTCTGGTAGTACTGGATCACCAAAGGACATCTGTGTAACATTTTCATCAGCCTGACAAGAGAGCCAATATCAACATTTGTCCACAGGAACCAACCTAAATATTTAAAGGTGAAAGGTACAGCTAAAATGAAAATTGAGTTAATCCCAGAAATATGTAGTGAACAGCCCCACTAACCAGGTTGTTAGAGGGAACCCATCACAGAAATAAGATGTAGCTAATTTTTAACATTTTTTTTCCTTCTGTGACATCTTCCTGAGATTTCCTATTCCATTGACAATATCAAAGAAAAGCAGGATTCTGTGATGCAAAGATACCAGATCTTGTTGCAGTGCATGTAGTCACAAAATAATGCACCGTGTCATTGTCAGTGAACCAGGAGATTTTATTTATATATAAACAAGATGGCACCTTCCAGCAAACGTACTGATTCACTGAAACACCACCAGCCAGCACACACATGCATTTCCCCTCTCCCAATATGGGCTTGATTTTGTTCCATTATTTTTGAATAGGGAAGTGTATTACAGGCTTTTTCTATAAGATTTTGTATGCTGTTTATTCAACGTAACTATGTGGCATTTTGATGTCTCAGTTTTAACCGGCACCTGTGTTCTCATTAGATTTTCTTCATTCGAAACTACGAAGGGGTTCTTCAAACAAGGTATTTGTTACAAGGAAATCTTTAGAGAGGCTTGACAATTCTTTTTTATGGCATCAAAAAGGTTTAAAAGTGGGATTTCATATTCACTTAAAACAGGTCCCTTGTGATTAGATTTCTGCACTTATTGGCACTTTTTGGACTTACATTATTTTTATGACCATAAAGCTCCCTATAACCTTTTTTTCCCCCCTGCATTCCAGCAGAAGCATCAGTAGATGGCACATGCAACAACTGCCCCATAGTATGCACTCAGTCCAGCTAGAATTACATCCACCTCCTTACTTCAAAAGAGTGGAAATTCATGGAAATAAAGATGCACCACACACGCTGGTTCAGGAATTTGTGTGTGCTAACGACACAGGATTATATGTATTAGAAACCAAAAGCTTATTGCAAAGCCCTGTGATGTCAGCCTCTTTCTTCAATACAGCTGCCATCATTACTACTGGTTGAGCTGCATCTAACTGTTAATGTCTAGTTTAGATAAGACCTAAAGGAGTTTAGCTAACTGAGAATGAGCGCTATGTGAAATTTCATAACAAAACTTTTACTGAACCTCACCAGATTTCATTAAAAACCTGAAACTTTGGCCAGGCTTTCCAGAACACTAGCTCACGTTAATCAAAATTTGGAAAACTGGTCCATGATTTGAGGGAAGCTGGGCAGAACAAGTTTTTGGTGGAAAATTTGTGAAACTCACTTATTTGGTGCTAACCCAAGGCAGAAATTGGTTGTTTCAACTGAGTTTAATTAATCTTTTTATTATTATTATTGAGATTAAAATGCAAATGAAATGCTAAGAAGATTACCTGACACCAAATTAAAAAAAGATTTACATGAATCTCCATGAAATGAAATATTCAAAAGCATCTAAAAGACTTAGGAGCCTACAGCCCAGAAAATGACCACAAATATTGTTTTCACCCAAGTTTTGCTTGGAAAATACGTATTTTTCTGACCAGATCTGTACTAGGAAAACTGCTTACACTTTAGTTCATTGAAGCACAATAGAAAAAACTATTAACTACATCTAAGCTTCCCATCTCATCTCATTCTAGTTCTTTAATTTGGCCTTCCTCAGCCCTTTACTGTTCAAAGCTAGTCATTAATCAAGCTTCGTCTCAAAAGCACTATTTAAAATGTAATACTACGAAAAAGACAATATTGATCTCACTCATATGTCACTACTCATTCTAAGGCCAAGGATGTAATTTCCTATGGTGAAGGGTGGGCAGTTGCTCCCTGTTCTCCAGACCTTGCTTTGCTCCTACTCCAACTTTTAATAGTTCCTCGCCAGCAGAAACTGAAGTGTCTTTCCCTTGAGTCTGTGAGGGATGCTGGGGCACAAGCCAGGCTGAGATACTGAATTGCCAGCTTTGATCCCTCTCTCTACCGGCCAGACCAGAAGCTGCAATAGAGCACTAGGCCAGAGGTGAGCATGAAGCAAGACAGGACCTGATCCATGGCCCCACACGAGTCATTGGTGTGACCCATATCCTCGGCCTGCTAGGCCCTTTCACTCCCTGAAATAGGCCCAGAATGCCATCTCCCTGCCCTGCTCCAGTTCGCTAACCCTCCA